TGAAATTGCAGACAGCGCATATAGACGGATCGAAACAGGCAAACATGGCGCAATCAGATCAGAATGGACCACAGGCGGTGTCCGCCGAACTGCCGCCAGCGATGGCAGAGGTCAAGTCGCAGAGTGTGGACGACTTGATGAAAGAGATGAACCGCATGCCAATTTTCATGACAAGTTTAGATGAAACAGACGGCGAGGGAGGTGAGAACATGGCGCTGGAGGCGTTGAAAGCCATGGCGTACGAAGGAACCCGTGCCGAAATTGCTGAAAACTTCCGACAACAAGGCAACGAATGCGCACGGGCGAAGCAGTGGACAGACGCGAAAGAGTTCTACGACAAGGCGATAGCAGCGCTCAAAGGCCCACAAACCAACCCGGACCCCGATGCAGAAGGACCAGATGTCATCCCTGTCGAGCTCGATGAAAAGGAGGAAGCAGAGAAGGAAAGAGTGATTGGCGAGGCCGTCTATGTCAACCGCGCGTTATGCAATCTCGAGAAGAGTGAGTACGGGAACGAAGGCACGATCTACAAACATGCATGGCGGCCTCTTCACAACACCAATTCGACTGCAGAATGCTAACATGCAGCAGAGAACTACCGCTCCTGCATTCAGGACTGCATAGCGACACTCAAGATCAATCCCGCCAACATCAAGGCTTTCTACAGATCAGGCACTGCTGGTCTTGCACTAGACAAGTTGAAGGAAGCAGCCTGGGCCTGCGACCGAGGATTAGCTCTAGATGCTTCCAACGCCCCTCTCAAGGCCCTCAAAACCAAGATTGATGCTCGAAAGCAGTACATAGATTCCGTCGAAAAGGCACGCCGCGAACGAGAGGAGAAGGCTGCATCAGAGCGAGCAACAATGAAACTTGCATTGCGAAGCCGGAATATCTTGACGCGGAGCACGGAGAAGCCCCCAGATCTGGAAGACGCCACGGTCAAGCTGGAAAACAGCTTGGACCCCTCTTCAACACTCACAGTACCGGTTATTCTGCTTTACCCAATGCACTCGCAATCGGATTTTATCAAGGCGTTCTCTGAGAAGGAGAAGCTAGATGAACATCTCGACTATATCTTCCCACTTCCATGGGATGAGCAACACGAGTACACAATCGACAATGTCGAATCATACATGGAGACCGCAGCGGGTGGTTTGATCAAAGTTGGAAAAAAGATGAGCCTAGGCAAGGTACTGGGAAGCGGGAAGCCGGAGATCGTCGACGGATTGGTGACGATAAGCGTGGTGCCAAAAGACAAGGCTGCTGGTTGGATAGAAGAGTTCAAGAAGCGAAAAGGGAAAACGGCATAAGTTGGCCAAGGGTCATGGCACAACAGCGCGTCTGACCCGACTGCTCCTCGGGCCGAACGATGACGATGTCTAGACGAATCGATGAATGAATGAACAAAAACACGCAAGCTACAGGCGCAACGCGTCCACAGCGCGCCTCACCCATCGCTCATTAGCAAGTTCGCAAAATCTCCGTATATGATCGCTGACGTATTCGCCGCACCGACCATTTCAACGTGCATCGCGTATCCCCACTGCATCACGCCGGCTGGGAAGCTCATCGGGTTAACCGGCTATATCACACCAGTCTTATGAATCTCGAACGCGGACTTGCTCAAATAGTACACAGAGGCTAAATAGGAATCAACATCCCTTCTGGTATTTGACCACCTGCCTGTCCAGATCGCGTTCCCGATGCCTGGTAACGGGACATATGCAAATGCGGCATCCAAGGTATATTGTCTGCATACACAAGAAAACCTGGCAGCGGCTACGTGCAGCAATGTTTCACGTAGAAATTATTCCCGCTCCTACTTTCCAGGATGCATTTTGCCCTGCAGCTACCAGTTCAGTTCGCGTACCAGGGAAAAGTCGTTCGCACGGCTCGCTTATGCATATGCAAGGTACATTCCGTGTTCCATGGTTCACACGTTGCGCCGCTGGCTGAGCGATAGCTGGTGGGGTGGGGGCTAGGGCCATACCATTTTAGCCGTTGGGCAATATTGGTGGCCTAGAAGCATTCCATTGGTGGTAATATAGAACAATGTCACTGAGGGGTCGGACCAATCACTATAGTTGTTGGGAACAATTTTCATCTATCTCTAAGACTCTTATGTTGGGAGAAATACATTGGTGTGGTATGCTGCATGGAGTGGAACTACCATAAAAGCCAATACAACGGTTGACAATGTCACCCGCTAACGGTTAATAAACATGAACCTGGGTGTGAATTGTACAAGATCAGCCTTCAGCATAAATGATGGTCCTTAACGCCTAGTCTCCGTATGGCTTGCCCGTCGAGACAGGTGTGGATGAACGCTAGATCTGTATGATGTATGTCGTAACATTCTGGTCTGAGGGATAAGCACCGGTAACGTGCCGGTGGTGGAAGGTGAGAGAACTTAATAGCCGTTGTCCCTAACAAAACTGTATCAGAAGGTACACACGATGACAGTCTACCGTGAATTGGACCAAGACAGCTGTGAGCGCTGAGCTACTCGTTCTCGTAAAGCTTCTTTTTGCGTGTCATCATGTCTAAATGTTGGGGTTCAAAGTCAGCTTGTATCTCACATGCAGTCCGTACAGTGACACTTACCCTTCAGATGGTTCCAAGCGACGTGGCTCATGTATCTGTCAGCGCTGTGGTAGTACTTCTCGCTTTTCCGCGACACCTCGTCTGCCTTGACCTGCTCCAAGTAGCCTAGGAACCTGACATCGGTGCGGCCCAGTTGTCGACGCCCACCGAAATACATCGAGATCTTACGGAGCTTGGCGTCACGGAGAATTCGCAGACAGTTCATCAGGTAGTCATCGTTCAGATAGCGACGCTGCTCGTTGGAGGTGACGTAGGGTGTATCTTTGGGGCGTGCATCATCGAAGACGAAGTCGACATCGCGCAAGTATTGGATGTTCTCGGGTCCGATTGTTCTTAAGAAATGCAAAACATCCTGATAACCAATCTCTTTGGGTACCGGCTCCCAGTACGGTCCACGTGTATCGTAATGACGATGGAAAGAGAACGTGTTCTCACCATAAAGGATGGAACAGGCTTCGTTGTGCACTAGCTTACAGCTTCTGAGAAACTGAGCAGACTTGGTCAGGCTGTTCTTGGGATCAATGCTTCTCAAGGGAATTCTAAGCCTTGAATCTTTGTCCTTGCGGGCGAAAAGATGGCGATATATAGTGTTTCGGAGCTCGCCTGGTAGATCGGTGAAGCCTTTGGGACGCACTGCAGTTGTTCCCACCTGCTCTGGGCTCACAGTACAGAGCTTCTTCGACTTGCCTGGCTGCATCTCATGCAATTTGCCTTGCTGGTTGATGTGTAGGAGGGTGCTATCGAGCTTAACGAAGAGTGGACCGTGAAAACCTAGCGGAACGTTGAACTGCAAGGTCATTGGTGGCTTCTTAGGGTCATTTCGATGAAAGGCGCCGCCTTCTTCGTTGTCGGTCAGGTCATCAAGCTCTTGGTTGTTGATGACAGGCTCTAAGTGAGGGGATGGAGGCGAGGGACTGCGTTTACGCTTCAGTGCGCCCTTCTTGTTCTTCTTCTTCTTCTTCTTCTTGCCCGATAGACTGAGTGGATCCATGTCGTCTTCGTCGTCCAGCTCACTCAGCTCACTCAACTCGCTGTCGGTCAAGGCGTCAAACTCGGCGTCCTCAAAGTCGACGTAACCCGCAACCTTCTTGATCTTGCCCGCGCTCTTACGAACAGGACGGCCCGTCTTTTGGTTGTATTGCGTTATCCTGGAAGGGCTGCCTAGTTCCGGGCTGGTATCGCGACTATGAGGTGATGCCGGAGGTGATGACGCTGGAGGAGGTGGGTTCGATGTCTTGGGTTTGGGTGCCATGACGGAGTTTTTTGTATGCGAACAATCAGTTGATGGCGGTGTAGTGAGTGCATGCGTGTAGAGGCAGAGGTTGCAGTCAGGATATGGTGTAGGTGAGTAGACGCGGGGTCGATAAATAGAGAGGCGCGTTCAAGGAAGTGACGGCCATTGCGACGCGCGCTTTCCTGGTTCAATGCTCCAGAGGTTATCACTAGTAGCCTTGGCAGCTAGTTGAAGGAGGAGGAGCGACAGTGTGCTTCATCTCAAAGCTCGTGAATTTCCATGGCTACGAAAGGTCCAGCCGCTTGTAGACTGTCACCAACATCCCGTAGACGAGACCTAGGATCGCAAGCTCCGAGAGCTTCTGATGATCTGGTTGCAACCCAAGTTCCAAAGAGGCTTCAGGTGGCCCTGTGTCGTGCTCTTATCGTGATGGACACATTGTCTGGGACGGAGTCGCAGTACCTGGGGTGTGTGGATGCAGCCGTGCCATTCCGGATCTATGTCGCAAGCTTGTGTATAGTGCCTTCGACTCGTTGTGGTGGCATCGTTCGCCTGTTCGTTCCGGATGCACAAAGATATTGTCAATTATCATCATGCTGGGATGTAGCTATGACGTTATAGAACGCCCTTCACACAGAGCGACGAGAATGGTTTCTGACACTGACAACTACATTGGAATGCTACATACATGACGACGGACTCCGACAGCGGCATTGAAGTAGAGACACTAACATTTCGTGTTCCATGCCAATGCGACGCTGGACAGAGGACAGAAACATCAACAGATGCTTCCTACGCAACGTAGCCGATCATAGATTTTTTCGTCCCCCTAGGTGGTGGGTGCCGGGGCGTGTCAACAGCTCCCACATCGGCCAGCTTGCGCCAGCCAAGTGAGGATGCAGCTGAGTTGAAAGCATTCATATCATCTCGGGTTTAGTTACGTGAAGAAAAGAAGAGAGGACGCGCGACGGAAGCGTTCATATTTTACCGCCGGAGAACGGAGAATCGGCACCGAGGCCATGACCCCTGCAATGCCGCCGTAGCTCCGTGATTAAGCGGGCGCATCGTTTCGTTGCCTCATTGAGACTACGAGTCCGGCTGGTATCAAGTACGTTTATAAGGTCGCGCCACGCTTCTGCCCTGCCTACCAGACTGAGAGACTATGGCGAACCTCAGAGCAGCCTGCAGAGCGCCTTTGCGCCAGCTCACTTCCCGCTCCACAGCTTCAATTGCCACCAACCATGCAAGAATACAGAGGCAACAATGGCGGGGCTATGCGACGAGTATGGATGCACAGCAGAAGGTATGCCTCGCCATGACAGAAATTCACGACTGGCAATGCTAACAAGTCCTAGATTCTCTCCCAGGATCTTGAGCAGGCCGATCCTACCGTCTACCAGATCATCAACAGGGTTCGTTGCCACATATTGAAGCTGTACATGCGAAGACGAAGCTCACGATACTTTTATTACAGGAGAAGAACCGCCAGAAGCACTTCATAAACCTGATTCCTTCTGAAAACTTCACATCACAAGCTGTGCTCGATGCGCTCGGCAGTGTTATGCAAAGTGCGTTCTGCGCATTCTCACACCACAATTCTAAGCTGACATGGCACGATAGACAAGTACTCGGAAGGATACCCGGGCGCGCGATACTATGGAGGAAACGAGCACATTGACGAGGCCGAGCGTCTATGCCAACAGAGAGCGCTCAAGGCATTCGGTTTGAGCCCGGAGGAGTGGGGTGTCAACGTCCAGCGTGAGTCAGTCGACAAAAATGCTACCATCGCCCTCTAACACAACTCTAGCCCTCTCCGGATCGCCCGCAAATCTCTACGCCTACTCCGCCGTTCTCAACACCCACGACCGCATCCTCAGTCTCGACCTTCCCCATGGCGGCCACCTGTCGCACGGCTACCAAACACCTACCAAGAAGATCTCCGCCGTATCCAAATACTACGAAACCCTCCCATACAGGCTCGATGAGAAGACTGGTATCATTGACTACGCAAAGATGTCGGAATTGGCACATCTGTACAGGCCCAAGGTCATCGTTGCAGGTACATCGGCATACAGTCGGTTGATCGAGTACGAGCGCATGCGAAAGCTGGCAGACGACGTTGGCGCGTACCTTCTCTCTGATATGGCTCACATCTCAGGTCTGGTTGCCGCCGGCGTCATCCCCTCTCCATTCCCCCACTCCGATATCGTCACAACTACAACACACAAGTCGCTTAGAGGCCCGCGAGGTGCCATGATCTTCTACCGCAAGGGTGTACGGAAGGTCGACAAGAAGGGCAACAAGGAGATGTATGATTTGGAAGGCCCAATCAACGCATCTGTGTTCCCAGGCCACCAGGGAGGACCTCACAACCACACCATCACTGCTTTGGCTGTAGCCCTGCAGCAAGCCTCAACCAAAGAGTTCAAGGACTACCAGCAACAGGTTTTGGACAACGCCAAGGCTCTTGCTCAGCGTCTTGGTGACTCCAAGGAGAACGGCGGTCTCGGCTACAACATTGTTTCAGGCGGCACTGACAACCATCTTGTCCTTGTCGACCTCAAGGACCGCGGCGTGGACGGCGCACGAGTCGAGCGTGTTCTGGAGCTCGTCGGCGTCGCATCGAACAAGAACACTGTTCCTGGCGACAAGTCTGCCATGAAGCCCGGTGGTATTCGTCTTGGAACTCCCGCCATGACAACTCGTGGCTTCCAGACCGAAGACTTCAAGCGTGTGGCCGACGTCGTGCACCGCGCAGTTGGTATCACCCAAAAGTTGGACAAGGATGCTAAGAAGAAGGCCGAAGACACTGGTCGCAAGAACCCCACTAGCGTGGCTGCATTCAAGGAGTACGTTGGCGAGGGTGAGGACATCACCGAGATCATCGAGCTCAAGAAGGAGGTTGAAGATTGGGTATCTACGTTCGCCCTGCCGTGGGACAAGGCACAATGATGACGAACAATATAATGAAAATATATGCGCTGTAGCGGGGTTTTGGCGTTGGAGGTGAAGGGGAAATTCCATGTACATATGATAGGCTTCTTTCCACTGCTAAACGACAATAGCATGTTTGCCTCTACCCCAATTCATACTCACCATCGTTTCATGTCCATTTGTAAGTTTCTTCTTGTCTATTGGATATCAATTCCAACACGATGCTATTCCCTCTCTTCTTTGTCTTTTTATGATTCTCTCACTGCTCTATACACATCCCCAGTCATTACCAGTACCATACACCACGGCGAAACAGACGCAGCTCGACATGATGTGGGGAAGATATTACATCATTAAGGTCATGCGCACTATTGTCACGCTCCAACTCTTTGCCAACTACACCAGGGCCACATTGGTGCTCGCCCAGGACATCACCGTCACCTACACCTCCACGCTCACTCTACCCGCGTTTGAATGCCTTACTCGTTTACCAACCACTACAACTTCGCCAGTTTCACCAAGAATGCTTACCGCCACGATGCAACGTATTCCGACAACCATCGTAGGACTATACCAAACACCTCTACCTACTTCAATTTCCTCACCTACGCCATCCACAACCACAACAGAGCCGACTTGCCTTCCCGATATCGAAATATCCACTCACAGCACACCGAGACACCCTTTGTGGATTCAACCTGCGACTATATCACTACTGTGTTATGACTTCGTTGTCATTGCGGCGTTTGCGTGGTGTTGGGTTATGGGCTGGTTTTGGTGGTGGAAGAAAATCGATAGGAGGGATGTGCAGAGGGCAAGAGAGACGGAGGAATGGAGACGAAGGCTAGTGGTGAACGAGGAGTTTGAGAGGGAGATGCGGAGGTTGGGCATGGTTTGATCTTGGGAAGAAATATGGACTGGACACGGACGGATCAATTCTGTTTTTAAAAGCTCTTCATCCTGCTAATCAGCTATCCGTTGCTGCAAAAATTGTTCATTACATCCGGATCCACCAGATTCATTACATACCACAACTCTTCTTAGCTAGCCATGCATCGTCTGCCCACCCGGGCCCCTCTCCCAAAATTCCAATGTCAGCGCGCTAAGGAAACATGGTATCTCCTTCCTCCCCTCGACCCAATACACAATCTGATCGCGTATCTCGCCTGCAAACTCACTTTGCTCTCCACCAGAGACCTTCATCGTCCCGTTCTCACCATCAAACACTATGCTGTTCTCCCCTTCCTCATCGGCAGGCTTAAACATACTGGTGACCTTGACCCGTCCGTTAGGCATAAAGTCCAGCTTCCAGCCCAGAATGGATGCAACAGCTTCCCTGAACTCGAGGGATTTCGCTGTCCAAATTTGTTTTAGACGTACAATCTTCTTGGACGAAGAAGCGAGTTGGGCTTTCAGTTCTTCGAGCTCGTCCCTAGCCGCATCGAGCGTGGCCAGTGGGACCGTGGATGGTGGTGTCTTTTGGTTCTCGAGCTGGTCAAGGAGCTGAGCGTTGGCTTCGCGGAGGTTGCGTACGGTGCTTAGTTTGAGGGCTTCCGCGTCGGCGGTAGGGTTGGATTTTAGCTCTAAGACTCGTGTTCGAGAAGACTCCTTTAGCTTCTTAAGCTGTGAGTGCTGAGCTTTGTATTCGGCCTCGACGAGCTTCATCTTTTTCTGCAGCGCGCTGAGGTCATCTTGTAACTGGCGGTTCTTTCGGCGCAGCTCGCCTACGCGTTCCTCGTTCTCATCCGTATCAAGAGCACGCTTTTGGCCTATTGCGGCAGCAACAGGCTTCTCTAAACTGTTGAACTCTTTTTGTAAAGTATCAACCTCTTTGCGATATTGGTCGACGAGATCCTCGAGCTCCTTTATCCGTTCAGACTTTGCAGCGTCGAATGTGTCAGGCTGCATCTCGCGCTCCTCATCGTCAAAAGCTTTGACTTGGGCACGTAAGAAGTCGACTTCTTTAGTTGCTAACGCTTTCTGTCGTTCAAGCCTGGCCCGTACCTTTGCGTCGGCACCATTCCCTGCGGCAGTGTTTCCAGCTGCCTTGAGTTGCTGAATATCAGCCTGTAATTTGGCCTTCTCCTCTTCGAGTGCTTGTATGTTGGCCTCTTTGACAATGAGCTCGGGCTTGATCTCGCCCAGTTTGTTGATGAGATCGGTCCTTTCTATGCGCTCTTGGATGAAAGCTCGTGCGAGGTCTTGAGGTGTTTCAAAGAGCACTTCGCCGTGTATCTCTGCTTCTGCCTCGAGGTACGACGTCCACGAATGGCGCTCTTCTTCTAGAACCTGCTTTCTCAGCTCGGCCTCTCCCAGTTGCCGTTCCAAGTCATCCATCGTGCGCAGTTTCGCCTGTAGCGACCTCTTCTCCTCCTCGACTACCTCAATCGCCTTGTGTTGTTTCCGATACTGCTTAAGCTCGGTATTCTGCTCCCTCGTCAAGGTCTCGAGTTTCTTGATGTGTGCGACCTGGTCAGAAAGCTCTCTTTTGATGACTGCCAGTGTCTCAGCATCTCCCGTAATTGCCTTGAGGCGCAACACCTCGGCCTCCATCTGACCGACTTCCTCCTCCTTCTGCGCGAGCTTCTTCTGTGCCGTCTGCAAAGCGTTGACCTTGGCTTGTAGATCTGCCTGCACCTCCTCGACACTTTCCTTGAGCGCCTTATGTTCGGTTTGTAGCGTGTTGTATTGGTGCTCATTCTGCCGCTGCGATGTCGACAACTCCTCTTTAACCTCATCGTATTCTTCTTGTAGCGACTGAGCTCTTTCTTGACACTCGCGCAATCGCCTTTCCAGCGCCTGTCGCTCGTTGGCAGCCCGTGTTTGTACCTCAGCCATTTCCTTGGTCAGCGCATCGTATTTCTTCGCGGTAAGAGTGTTGGATGCCTCGACCTGCTGCGCTTTACGAAAGTCGGCATCGGCGCGGTTTTGGGCATCGCGGAGTTCTTGCGCATGTTCCAACTTCATCATCTCCTTCTCCTGTTTCGCTGTTTCGAGCTCATATCGCAGGGTATTGAGCTGGGCGCGGAGATCCTCATTGATGGGGTCCGAGGGGACAACCGTGTGCGGCGCATTCTGCGAGGCTCGCAATGTGGTTCGGAACGTTTCACGGAGAGGTTCTCGTTTGGCGGTGGCAGGCGCAGGCGTTGGGTCCTCTTCCTCGCCAGTGAGGAAGTTGAAGGACGGCTGTGTGGTGTTGCGCACTGCCATGGTGGCAGCGACTCCGTGTTGTTTTGTTTGTTATGGAGAGATTGGGTTGGGGGCGTGTGCAATCGTTGTCGGTACGCTGAGGCAATAACTATGCCATTGTGTATCGTCGAGTGATTTCTGCTCCTTCCAGCAGTGGTGTCGAGTTCGGGCGAGTGGTGGGTAAATAAACGTTGTTCTTGTTGTCGCAAGCATCGTGTCTGGGGTTCAAGGCGCCGCCCGGACAAAGCCGCCTTGGGCCTAGCGTGTGAGGTGCATTCGGCGCGCAGGCACGTGGCTTTCACTTTACACAGGTCATGTCACAACTCTCGAGTGTGCCGCAGACATAGGTTCCTTGTTCGTTCTCAGAGACAGGGTGATTATCAATATGCTCATGGCTGCATCTCAAGTGAAGATCTACCAATCCCTACTCCCTTACATCCGCCCAAGCCTTCGAAAAGACATCGCTTTCGCCGTCTCTCCAGCCCCATGCGACGCAGTAATGCCGGAGTAACATTTCCAGTTCCTCCAGCTCGTCTAGGAATTCCAAACCAGCGATGCGCTCCTTCTCCTCATCGCTAATCCATCTTCGCCAGATAGTGTTAGTATCTGCGACCTTGGCTCCGTCTGTCAAGCCATAGCCCTGCAAGCGTGCGCGTTGGTCGCCCAACTCGGGATACGCCGTCAATGTGTGCAGGTGGATGTTTCGGCTTTGGAGGTTCGAGATCATGGTCCGACCAAAGGCATCTTGGGGTAGAATAGGCTCGTAGAGTATGAGAGAGGCGGGCATTGCAGGATGTAGGTAATGCGTCAATAATGATGACACTATCGATTTTACTGTCGAAGGCTGCAGGTAAACCAGGCACATTTCGGACAAGATCAATGTAGGTATGCTCGGGTCTAAGTTTGGTATCTGAGGTAGGGGCGCCTCTTCTGACGAACTCGCCAGAGACCGTAAATCAAGCGCATGAATGTTGTAGGTATCCGAATAGTACGAGTCCAAAGTTGACGGCATGTGTAAGAGCTTCCGATGCAGTAGCGGTTGCCTCTGTATGGCGGCTATCTTGGCTTGTGTGTTGGTAGGAAAGTCGATCTCATGGTACACGAGGCGCGCCTGAGGGTATAGATCGAGAAGGCGGAAGAATCGCGTGTCAGTGCCAGCACCGAGGGAGATGATCTGCTTCGCCGACGACGGGTGGGTAGTGAGGAACTTGGCGACTAAGAGGTCGATGGCCGAGGTGCGAACATAAGTGCCCCGGTTGAGCAATGGCAGTTTCCTTGTCGTCTGCTGTGTCGCAAACAGCTTCGCATACGGGTCGTGAAGATAGCCAAGCTCTACACAGCTCACCCTGCTCCCCGCCGCATCTTGATCCGTAGCCTTGACGGCATTGTCGAGAACTTGTGCCCGTCCCTCGCTAGAAGTACCAAGACCGCCTCTTCCATGTCCTCTGCCTCGTGATGATCCGCCACGGCCTTGTCCGAGAAGTGTTCGTAGGTTGGGGATTTCGTTTGAAGAGGCCATGTTCAGGTTCGAGATGGGCGGAATTGGTGGGGGTCCAGCTCCAGGTTCCGCGCTAGCGCTGCATGCCAAGCCGACGCCCGGCCTGCCCTTTGGGACTTCTGGAGATTTCTTTGACGCGACCGACTTCACTCACCTGTTGCGCCGACACCCCAACCCTACACCCTTACTCCACAATCAACGTTAGCGACGGCAAACATGGAAGGCGAAAAGTACGGCGCGTCTCTTATCCGCCTGTGGAGGGTCTGGCGGACAACCAAGGAGATGATGAACGACCGGGTGGGTTGCGCATGCGCTTTGGAACACCATGGAC